CCTCCCGCACCCCCCGCCCCACAGAACCCCAACCCGACCCCGAACTCCCCACCCTCTCCCTAACAACCCACACCCTCCCGGCGCAGGCCCCGACCGGCAAGGGCCCGGACGCGGGCGGCCCGATCCAGGTGATCCACAACTAGCCCGGCCGGTACCAGTGCATGTCGGTCCTGGGGGGCGCGCGGCCGCATTGCCAGCGGGTGTTCAAGTCGTTGGGCTTGCTGCGGCGGCACCATCGGGTCATGCACGGGCCGAACACGCAGACTTGTGCGCTCTGTGGGCGGTTTTTCTTTGGGCGGGTGCATGGGGTGGTTTTGGGGGGGCGGGGGGGGGGATGGAATTGGGCAGGAGATTGGGGAGGTTGAAGGGGAGGTTGTGGTGAAGAAAGAGGAAGAGGAGGAGGTTAAGATGGAGGATATCAAGATGGAGGTTGAGGAGGCTGTGAAGAAAGAGGAAGAGGAGGAGGACGTGAAGACGGAGGTTGAGGAACAAGACATCAAAGAGGAGGAAATGGAGCTCGAAGAGGGCAAGATCCGGGAAGAGATGGATCTTGACGCGGAGGCGTTTATCCAGACTGCGGATGACGCTGCCCCACCTTCTCAGTTTTATCACCCGGTCTATGGCTGTTATCGCCCGATGTGCAGTGAGGAGACGTTTGACATGATCGAGGGAAAGGATATCCAGCCGGCTTGGCCTTAGGTTTTTGCTTGGTTGTGTGAGTATCCTGAACCCACCGCTGATCATGTCCTACCTTTTTTTCTTTTTGTATCATGGCTTAAGTCAATTAAGTATTATCATAACTCTACATGCAAGAAATATCAATTATCAACAGACTGAACATATAGAAGAGTGACCGTCGGAGTCACTTCATGTCACATCCCCTGCCGGAGTGCTATATTCAAGCCAAATACTGCACCAATGCTAACCCACAGATTTCACAACCCACCCCTAAGCAGGCAGCACCCCCTGCGGATTATGAAACACATCTCCCGGATCCACCGCCGCCTTAATCCGCCCCAACCGCTCCAGATTCCCACCCCAGTACGACTGTCTCGGATCCTCCAGCCTCGGATCAACATACCCCGGATACACCCCATCCCCAATCCCGGGTGTATTATTCCGGATAATCTCATTCACCCCATCCAGAAAGTCATACGTGGTCTGCGACACCTGGCCCAAGGTCACGGCGTACGACTGCATCCAGAACAGGGTATCCCGGTGGGCGAACCCGGTGGCATCGTTGGGGACGTCATTAATGGCGCCGCCTTCGAGATCAAAGATCACGAACCAGATCAGCGAGCCCGTGCTCGCCGTGTCCAGGTACTCAAACAGCTGCTGCACACCGTCCTCCGAGATCTGCGTGTCCTGCTGGAAGGCCAGACATCTCGCGTAGAAGTGCGCGGGGATGTCGCCCGTCAGATCCAGAATGCTCTGCTCGGCCCAGTGGGCGGTCAGGCCGAGCCAGTCGGTGAACACGACGGCGGAGGAGTTGCCGTCCGCGCCGGGGAAGCGGTCCGCCAGCCCGAGGGCGTCGTACTCGGCCTGCGAGCCGAAGAAGGTGCCGGAGATGACCACCGACCCCGCCAGGATGGTGATGATGCTGGCGAGCTTGCGCGTGAGGTCCTCCTCCGTGATGAACGCCTGCCAGTCGCTGAACAGCTGCGCGCGCGACGCCGCGCTCCCCAGCAGGTTGAACGTGTAGGTGTACTGCACCGCCTCGGTCGGGGCGGCCTCGGTGCGCAGGACGAACTCCGTCACCACGCCGAAGCTGGCCCCCGCGCCCTTGATCGCGAACAGCAGGTCCGGGTTATCGGTGCTCGAGGCCCGCACGATGCTCCCGTTCGCCAGCACCACCTCCGCCGACAGCACGTGGTCCAGCTCCATCCCCCATTGCCGCGCTGTCGGACCCAATCCCCCAATGGTTGCGTGGCCTCCGATCCCGATCTGCGGCGAGGTGCCGTGCGCCACCGCCCGGTTGCCCGCGTCGACCAGGTGCGTGTCGAGTTCGCCGTTGAGCATGCCGGCGCCGACGGTGGCGCGCTGCGTTGATGCGTCATAGGCGAAGGATTTCATGTTCTTGAGGTCGACGACGATGGCGCCGTTCGTGCCGCCCAGGCCTTGGTTGGTTAGTGTTGTTGCTAACGAAGATTAGGGGGCGGGGACGGAAGGGTATACCGTAGTTGGCATAGCTGTGGCCTCCGCTCTTGGCTTGCACCTTGTAGCCCAGTTGGCTGGCGCACTGCACGATCTCGGAGACCTGGGCGCTGGTGGTCGGAAAGGTCACCGCGGCAGGGGTGACGGGGTAGTTGAGGTTGTAGACTTGCACGGCGAGGGTCTGGTACAGGAGATCGCCCTTGAATGCGGCGAGGGTGCTGTCATTGTAGACGGCAGAGAGGATGCAAGACTTCAAACTGGTGGTGGCTGCCGCGGTGAGACCGAGGAGGCACAAGAGGCAGACCATGAAGCCCTGTGAAAAGCCCATGGTGATGGTGGTGGTGGTGGTGTTGGTTGTGGGAGAGTCCCCAGGCAGCGCATCACACATTCCAGGGCATCCGTTGGGGCCGGGAAGGGGTAAATAAATAAATAAAAGCCGCGGTGGCGGCATGAGGCGGCCCTGTCCCACTCAGTCTCTCGTCCAGGAAAAATGTGTCACTCGGCTGATCTTTCTTGCTTCTTCGGGAGGTCAGCAGAGAACCGACTCGACAAGGTTCCAAGAGATCGTCTAGTTTGTCACCTTTACGAGCGATCGGCGGGCCCGGCAAATGAGGATTGGCCGTGCCTGGCGATCTATTGATTTGAGGGATCCACAGCCGCAACTTATCAGCTTACCATTACCACGCAGTTGTAGCCGATCCACTCCGTCCTCAAGACAGACACTTGGAAATTTCAGCAGCTACCCGTGGTAGGACCCGTCAAGAGCTGATTGTGTCCTGGTGCAGAGCACTTGAACATAAGGTTTATTCCCGGATACCATGCACGGTGCCATGTGCCTACGCTTGTATGTATATGGCCGGGCCAGCAGGGAGGTATTCATGCAGGATATACCTTGTCTTGCCTTGGCCACCGAAGTGCGATACCCAACAAAAGAAGAGGAAGGCCCGGAACGGTAATGTTTCGCTCAAGCGTGACCCGCACGAACATCTCCGTCGAATTTACTTGACTACAGCTTGATCCCTTGTAAGCCTCGCACACTCAAATCGATCAATCCATTAGTGCAAAACATATGACCAAGGATAATCACAGGTAAGAATATAGATGACCAGAATTGACAGTCTAACCCCCAGAACCATGGAAAGAATCATCGTGCCGATGTCACCCGGCCTCCTATCCAAGGAACGTCCCGGTTGCACAACGCAGCCTCCTTACTACCTACCACCACCACCTCTAGGCTGCCATTAAGCAGCTCACTTGCGGTAATCTCATCAGATGCACAACAGCAATGCTGCATCTAAGCCCCGAGAAATCTTAGACATGATCCACCCCGGGGTAAAAGTCTATCTTGCCCCCCTCCTGAATCACCCCCGTACGATCCAGACACGTCCGTCCTCTAACAAACGGATCCAACGCCCAATACTGCTTGCGCCAGGCGGAGATCGCCTCCGTCCGCTGCACGGCCACACTCTCCGGCTGGGCCGCCGCCAGCCACTCCTCCGTCAACTCCAGTAATTTGGAGGCCAGCTCCTCGCGCTCGGCCAGCAGCCGGTCGCGCGTGGCCGTCTCGGTCATGCGCTCGTTCTCGCCGGCCACAGGCTCCACAAACTCGTAGTCCCAGCCCTCGGGGCCACCGATCTCCCTGAGGATCTTGTCCGGGGCAATGAACTGCTCCAGGTCGGCCACGGACTTGGTGAAGTGCACCTTGGAGACGATGACGGGGTCCATCCAGGATTTGACAATTTTCCAGATGCCTAGCCTGCCTTAGTCCACGCCTCACCCATCGTCACTCGGGGAAAAAGTGAGGGTCTTACCTGCAAAGATCCACGGGGCGTTATGGATCAGCATCGTGCCCAGATACTCGGGATAATTCTCCTGAAAGCAATCGATGACGAATCTCACGGGCGCGAATTCCTATCCTCCCTTCAGTATATCCCTACCTTCCATTTGCGCAGGCAGAACAATAAACTTACCATATTCGAGACCGAAAACCCCGTCATATCGAACAAGATCGTCTACACCCGAAACCTGTCAGCCCCTCCGAATGGTATAATCTAAGATAGAGTACAGAGAACATACCGCCGTCTCAACCGGATCCACCAGTGTCAAGCGCACCGTCTCAATCATATGCAGAATGAACCGGGTGATGACCGCCTCGCTCTGCTGGCCGGGCTGGTGCAGCCGCACGCGCACGAGCATGACCGGCCGGCCCTGGCGATCCGTCCCGTGGACAATCGCCTTCCCCATGCGCATCTGATTCAAAAACGCCTGACTGTCCGTCGCGGTCGTCTGCACGGTCGTCGCCCCGATGGCGCCCGGAATTGAAGGGGTCTGCGGCGGTTGCGCGGTCGCCTCGTACTGCGCGTCTAGCTCGGTGGTGGCCAGGATCCGGGCGTCGATGTCCTGTTGGTGTCGGAAGTGGATCGCGCGGAGGAGCATCGCGGTCGCGGCGGGGACGGCCCATTTGCGGGCGCGCAGGAAGCGGACGAGCAGGGTATCTGGGGAGTCGTGTTTTGCGAGGCTGAGGAGGCCGGCGCGGAGGGAGGGGAGCGGGTGGCGAGGGAGCGTGTCGAGGATGGGTTGGACGGTGTCGAGAGAGGGGAGGTGGTGGGCTGCGAGGGCGGAGGTCAGGCCGGCGGCTGTTGGGCCGGTGGTGCTGTCGGCGGTGGTGTCATCGTGGTTGTTGATAAGGTAGAGGATGATGCTCCAGGTTTGACGGAGTTTGGTGGACTGGTCTGAGGTGAGGTTGTGGATGTAGCCGGTTGTTGGTTGGGGAGAGGGAGTGGGAGAAGGCATGGTGGGGTGAAGAAGGATGAAGGAGAAAGACGAGGGAAATTGTCTGAAGAAGAGGGGGGACCAACACAAACTGTGGACGGGCCCAAGACCCCAACCCCGATCGACCGGGTCCTGGTGGGAGATCTCAGGGGCGGCACTGCCCGGCCCGCGATCCTCTGTGGGGAAGCCCTGAGCTGGCAATATCGGCCAAATTTACGACACTGACTAAATTGATAATGAAGCCAACTGGAATTTGCACAGGTTCTAAACCTCCCAGTCTATCTTTGACATACCTCCTATGAATTGAAGATGGGTAAGGTCTCATGATGGTGTTCGGCTCGACTGAGTCAAGGACCCAGACACCTACTCAAGGAGCCAACCACACATCGACACCACGTCCTCCTTATCTTACTGTAACCTAGAAGTCCAAAATCAACCTATAACACAGTAAGCTCCCCTTATCAGAATGCACAAACCACCGTGGACACAACCATCCATCCACTGCCCACCTGCCAGTACGCACCAGCATTCCCAAAGAAGCAATCCACGGACCAACAAATAATCCGGACCCGCCCACTCCGCCCTCCACCCGTGACCGCATCCCGATCGCACCCGCAACCACCTCAAATCCAGTTCCTAGTCTACAACCAACCACCCTGGCCAAAATCATAAACTTCGACCCCACATCCTCTCTAACAGAATCATATACAACCAAGAAAAATGGGCCTCATCGACTTCCTCAAAGAGATCCTCCGCCCGGGCAACGGGATCGA